ATCCATCGAAATACACATGGGCACGAGCAGAACAAACACTTCGTGCTCCCAGACACTTGACACAAACATCGGCTGCGCACACACGCGAAGGCGGTGGTCACTGGGTTGCGGGAACACCCACATACAGGCCGGTTGTGTGTGCGGCAGACGGTCGATACACATCCATTCACTCCATGTCAACGTCCTCCTGTCTGTCTGCTCTACCTTCCTGTTCGTACGCACCTTGTCGGAGGGATACACGGGACTCGCGACACAGATCCACAAAGACAAACACGATGCGAGATGTCCACGTCGAATCAAGATCAGATGTATTCTGTGATGTACTTCCTCTCACCCTCCACAAAGCTTGAAAGCCACAGCATCAGACAGCCACGGACGAACACTGTTGCAGAGTTGTGTGTTACCGTCACTGCATGTGATGTGAGAACCTGTCATGTACACACAGACACCAACAACGTGTGCTGGAGTGATCACCACGTTGTGCGTCGCTCAATGTGGCACACGACAGGGATGACGGACAGGCACCGTGACATATATGAAGGTGGACCTCCATCTCCATCTGCACAACATATGGACACACATACGTACCATTCCAGCAACATGCATCAGTTGCCTCCTTCCTAATGTGTTTGTTCGTGTTCTTGCAGGCCCTCCGTCGCCGCGACCACCCTCATGCCTTCTTCGGACTCGATTGTTAATGCGCTGTCGCTTGTGATGCCAGAAGAAACACCTTTTCTGCCTCTTCTTTCCACTTGTCATCTTGGTCTTTACAGTCTTCGCTCTCCCTCAAGAAAAAGATCCGCAGCAAAGATCCGCAGCATGCAGCGGTTTCAGGAATTACCCTAGGCAGCCAGGCGGCAACAGTCCCGTTGTCAAACTCGGTGCCTTTTTTCCCGAGGTTTCAACGCGCTGGGTGAGTAGTGGGGGTGCCAGCAACAGCACTGGTGTGAGGTGACCTTCTGTTCTTTCAGTTCGACCGTGATCGACCGTTTTGTCTGACCGCACGCCTTCCGTCTGAGAAAGACGACGACCGTGCTGAAGTGTCAGCCCGATTCGCGGAATCAGTGAAGGCAGCAAAATGGGCGAAGAAGGAGCAGGCTGATCGCCTCCTGGCAGCTACAAGGCTCAACTTCTGTCGAGATGCGTTTTCTCTTCCTGTTGCCGCTCTGCGCGGCCCTGTTTCTCCTGCCCGGCCCGTGCTCATGCGTCGGTCGTCCCGCAGAGCCCTTTCCTAACCCCCAGCGAGACCTCGAGCAGTGCGGTTTGGTGCAGCCGGCGTGGATCTGTGACCCTGACCACGTCCTGTCGTCGGTGACTGAGCGGGAGAAAGTGCAACACATCCTCAACGACATATACGAGAACGTGCAGGTGGAGTGCCCAGATGGATCAAAGAAAGGATTCCAGGTAGGGCAGGCAGCTGACACAATCAATGGTCATGTGTGTGACTGGTATGCGCTGATTGGTTGGTGCAGGTTGGCGTCGCATTGGTGGAGAAGATGATGATAGGCTGGGCGGACGTCGAGGACATGGCCTCAAAGTAAGGCAGCAGCATCTCTGGACGGCCGATGGGCAGGCCAGCAATTGCCTCCCTACTGTGTTTCCTGCTTGCAGGTATGCATCCAAGATCGGTCGCCAGTGGGGTGTGGGCCACGCCGGCTGTGACAACGAGGTCATGTTCTTCATGAGCTTAAGGGACCGGGTCGTGCACATCAAGACGGCGCGACAAGCGGCCATGCGCGTCAGTGACTACGACATCGATGGTATCATCGAATCCATGAAGTGAGTGAGTGAGTGAGTGAACATTCGAACCTGTTGCAAGCCTGTCCTCCTCCGGTCACTTGACTTGATGCCTCTCTGCCCTGCCCTGCAGGCCGTCTTTGCGTGCCGGCAAGTACGACAAGGCGGTGCAAGGCGGCCTCATTCTGCTGAAGCGCGAGTTGCAGAAGCCCCCCCGCCAACCTGTGGACATTTCCTTCGTTTTCAGCGCCTGGGTGGTTCCCATATTCGTCGTGGTAATGGTGCTCGTCTGTGGCGGGTGGCGGGTGATCGCTGCCCTGCTGATCGGCATGTTCATGGGCTTGGCGAGTCTCATCGGACATGCCATCGCGACTGTGGCCGACTGCTGCAGGTGAGGGTGTGGCTCTGGGAGGAGTGAGTACATCTGTGGATGGGATGGATGGTGCAACTAACTGTTTGTGTGTCTCTTCCAGGAACATGCTGGTCAAGCGGGAGCGAGCCGAGGCCCAGGCAGCCCTCGACCGTGTGGCCAACGAGCTGGGCGTCACCCCCTCAGCCCCCCCTCTCGACCCAGACGCCCAGCCCTCACCAGTGACCGCCCCCTCTCCCTCTGACTCGCCCACCCACCAGTCGCAAGCCATCTACCACCTGGTGGAGGACAACACGTCGCACATCTGTCCCATCTGCTTGGAGGATCTCATCCCACCCCGCACGGACAAAACCGGCACGAAAAAGAAGGACCAGAAGGACAGCGGCAAGGGTGGGTCGGGCGGAGTGCGTGAGCGAGAGGTCAAGGCGCTGCCGTGTGGCCATCGGTTTCACAAGGTCAGCACGCATCCCGCCACATACACAGATCGTTCGCTGACTGACATGTCTCTGTCTGTCTGTGTGGGTGCGTCTGATAGGTGTGTGTGGATGAGTGGCTGCGGGCGGGCGGCGCCACCTGCCCCCTGTGTCGGGCCGAGGCAGGCGACGACGACACGGGACCGCCGCTGGCACACGAACGACCTGACGAACGACGGTAGGCGTCTACCCGCACATCAAAAGATACTCACAACAAACCCATCCACTGACGCACCAATGGTTCCTGCAGGTATCGTCGTCGCGTTGAGTACTTCCTCCGTCGGCTTGCGGCTCGGTTTCCCCGCACGCTCGGCCGCTCCGACATGGGCGCCTATCGCACGACATTCATGGGCGCCCGGCCACGGCCCACACCACACACGGGCGGGGGGGCGTGCTTCACGACCTACCAGCCGCCTGTTTTCATCCACGTGAGACAATAACAACCGAACACACAACAGACAGACAGTCGAAGGACGGCTTGTGTTGTTGTCCACGTGTGTGTGTCCAGGTGCCCCCCGTCCCCCAGCCAGCCCCTCCCCCCGTGCGCGTGCCCCTGCCGACGTTTGAGCAGACATACAACAATGTAAGCACAGTACACACAAGAGAGAGATTCCAAACGCACAGGCAAGAGATACTCTTCATTCACGTGTCCTCCCGCCCGTTAGATTCGCTGGGTGCTCACAACTCCTGTCGTGCCGCCCGATGCCTTCGCTGCCCCAACCACCACTCACCGCCCCGACACGACGACCCAGACCACCCAGCCCCACCAGGCGCCGCATCAGGCCCACCGCCACCACGATTGGGGCGGCTGGAGCTTCGGCCACTCGAGCACTGGTTTCGGCGGTGGGGGCTTCTCGGGTGGGGGCGGGGGCGGGAGCAGCGGAACATGGTGAAGAACGAAGGCATTGTATGCGGGTCGAGAGGGAGTCCAGGGGCAGATACAATGATGGGGCGAGGGAAGGGGGGACGGAGGGTAGGTGCACTGTACAGGCAACAAATGAATGACGTGGGTCGGGTCGGAGGGAGCAAGTCTGGTATACATGTATTTGTGCGAGTGTGGGCATTCATTCTTTTTGATGGAATCGAATCGCCTTCCCTGTATGTTGCCCGCCCTCGGTGCGGACGAGCACGGAAGAAAAGACAAAGGGGAAGGGATTGCGAAAGGCGCGAGGCAGATTTACCGCTTTTGTGCAATAATTTGGTTCTGTGTGAAGAATCAGAGCCGTCAGTTCCGCTGGCAGTGTCGGAGGCCGCTGCTCACGGTTGAGACGGTGATGATGCTCCATACGTTGGACCAACTCAATGAATGCACAGCGACAGACGAATGGAATCGGGCACCAACCCGTGACAGTGTGTGCACTACAGATTAGTGGCCACGTGTATGTGTGTGTACAGTAAGCACATTGCCTGCTATTTGATCAAGACTGACAGACAGACACTGCACTGCTTCGTTCGTCTCAATGGTTTGTTAATAGCAGTCTGTCTCGATTCGATAAGTGTCTCATAATTCTCACACAAAGCATCAACACAGAGGTCTCTCCCGATTCACACGTCACACGTCAGTCACCACAACTGCGCGCTTCCGCCGCTTTGCCGGCGGCCCGCCTGCATCCCCCATCTCCGCTGTGTCCTTGCCCTGCTGCTCACCCCGTTTGTCGGTCCCGAAGCAGGACGTGAGTGGAGTGCCCTTGAGAAGTGGCTGGTTGGTGAAGAGGCCCACAACAGGCAGATGGCTCTCCACTTGGCCTCGCAGGATCATCTGCACACATGACATGCACGGACAACACCGACCGCACAAACAGGAAGGATGTCTGCCTGCCTCCATCCATGACACCACCCACCCTGCTTTGCTCACCTTCTGGTTCAGGTTGGTCTGCTCCGAGTGCCTCACAAAGCGGGCGGCGTTGCCAAAGTATCGCGTGTCGATGGCCGGCAGGGTCAACTGCCAGTCGGGGTCAGCTCTCTCGACGTCTTCGGCGTAGCTGACTTGGATGAGTGGGTACCAGTCGTGTTCGTTGGCGGTGTATCGCGCGTAGCGGCAGTGGCTCTCGGCGACCGAGATGAGCTCACCAGCAACCTCCAGCACGTAGGTGTCCTTGTCAATGTCCTCCTGATGGACCCATACAGACACACAGATGTGTACAAGTGCTCGCCTGTTTGCTTGGGTGGGCGCATGAGTGTGGTATGCTCGCTTACATCGGCGATGAGCTCCCACTTGCCGTCGTCTGTCTTGCGCACTGCGACCTTCTTCTGCAGGCCAGGCTTGTACCCCCTGCGGACACCACAGAACCACAACCTGTCGCATCACGCATCCGCTGTCTCGCTGTCACGTACATGAGCTTGTTTGTCGGAATCTCATCGGTCCTCCGTCCGATGTCTTGCGAATCCGCACACCCGCCACATGCCCACTCACTGAGGTCATTGGCGGGCACCTGTGTGCTGGGTGGGCCAGCGAGCAGCTTGGTGAAGGCCACACACTGCGGCACATACCCATAGCCAGTGGGCACCTCGCCCGGCTCCCCACCGATGACACGCATCATGCCCCTCCTCTCTCGCCCCTGTGACGCATCTTTCTCTGCCTCCCAATCCCTCAGCGGCTCGGCGAGCAGCAAGCAGACGGCGGTGGGCGTGCGTTCGTCGAGGCCGCTCTCTGGCTGCACGATGGGCAAGTATCGCTCGATGACGCGGTTGGCGAGGGATCGTGGCACAGGGATGGTCTCCATGCGAAAGGGGTTCCCGTAAGTGAGGCACAGCTGGAACGGGAAGAAGCCGTAGCGACTCCAGTTGGGGACCTGAATCACAAATCAAGCGACGTACATCTGCTCGAATGCACAGACGTGTACAGACGTGTCACGAGCATTTGGTCGCTCACCGTGTTGTCAGATGACGATGAGCTTCTCTCAGCCGCTCCTGCTGCTGCTGCTGCCGCGGCAGCTGGTGCAGGTGCGGGCTGGCCGCCTAAGTGGGCCACCACTCGGCCATGCCACTCCTTGGTCGGTCGAACATCCTTGCAGGCGGCGGCAAGCGCCTTGTCGAAGGCCTCCTGGAAGGTGTCCAGCCATATGATCTCCTTCCACTGCAAGGTCTTGTGTGATCCGTCCGACCGCCTCACGGCCAGCGACAGCCGTCTCGGCGAGCCTCCCCCGTTCTGATCGTGATCAGCCTTGTTCTTGGTTGCCAGCCTGCGCATGTGGCCGGGCTCATGGGCATCGGGCAAGCGCTTATCGTTGATGGGCGGCGTGTAGTCGGGGTCCTCCCCTGGCTGTGGCGTCAGATACTCCATGACAAACTTCCACACACGAGTATGCTTGACCGTGTCGCCCTCCTCCTTGTCGTCCTTCCTCGCCTTGATGATCTCCTCCCTGCCGACCTCGAAAGCCTCCTTGATGACATACAAGCCGTCATAACGATACCCCCAGCTGGACGTTGCCGAGGAAGGATAAGACACACACGTTGTGTGTGATGGATGTCCAGTGTACCTACCAGGGAGCGAATTTCCTTGGGTTGTCTTTGTAGCCCCGAATGACACGCACGGGGATTTTGTTTTTGGAGGACTGGAGCATGGCCCTGTTGCTCTTGTTGGTCATGTCTTGATCCGCCCCCTTGCCTTCGCCCGCGTACATGATGCGATCCAGCTTGTCCAGATCCTCATACATACTGTCCCCGCCCTCCCCGCCCATAGCCGCCACTGATCTGGTCACCCACTTGCCGTCCTCCCGCTGCAGGGTGCCTATGCCTTTCATATTCTCCTGATGCAGACCCAAGAGCTTCAGAGTGGAACCTGAAACGCAGACAGACAGACGTAAGTAAGTCACAGTCTGTCAGCCAGGGTACGGTACACGGCACGTGTGCGCGTGACGGACGCTTACGGTAGGGCAGGATGGTGCCCGGTGGGACGGGGAAGTAGGGCAGCCCCACCACATGCCGCTCACTCGTCAGTCCGAGCTCCTCCTCAATCTCCCTGCACACAGCACTGTCGTTTTTCTTCTTCAAGCCCGAGCCAGCACCCTCCACGCCTTCCTCGTCGACCGCATCGGGGTTGCTGGCGTCCATCACTAAGGCGAACTTGCGATAAAGATATTTCCACTGGCCCTCCTTGTCGCCGCGCTCAACCAGATCATCCCAGATGGCTTTCTGCGCCTCATTGAATTCCGCCGTCACTTCTCTCACGCAATCATCCATTGGCTCCGATGCAATTCGCTTCCACCAGGAGCAGTCAGGCAGGATCCCTCACTCCTTCAAACAAGACAGGCAGCATCATTTGGGTGGAACACTCGTCCCACCTCTGCTTCTGTTCACCTGTTTCCTTCCGTTCGATTCCTTCTTTCTCCGCGCGAGCTTAGCTCCGATCGGAGGGTAAATGGCGAAGGGAGGGCACAAGGAGGCCCTCTACACCACCAGGGGCACCCAAGGTCCCAAAAGAAGCCTCTCGGTCATCCTCGAATCCATGAGTTAAAGACGTACCAGTGGCGATGGACGAACGGAAGATGTACAATTTTTGAAGATGTACGGGACGCCCGTTGTGCCAAGGAGGAAAGCATCTGACAGATGAGCATCCTGCGAGCAAAACCTCACTTTGCCGGGTAAGTAGATAATCCATCCACGACCCCCACACCCCCCACTGAATGACACCAAGTGTGTGCGGTACGCGAAGATCTGTCGGCTGACAAGACAAAGCACTGCTCTTCACTTCACGTGCAGCAGCGGACCCACCTCATATAGCCACATGCACATGAAACAAAGTCCGTGCACAATCTCATCCACAGATCCTGCAGCATGTGGAGATTAAGATAAGTACACAACCTCGTAGGTATCAGTCGCTCTGTCATCGATCGTATGCATGCATCCGATGCATCCGTCCATTGCATTCTCCCGCTCAGGGAAAAAAACGCCCAGGTCACAGCACTGTGGTTGAGTCCCAGCAGAATCTCCTTGATGCTGACTGCTGCAGGCCATCCAGCACACCCATCTGCGCCTCACTCAAACGGAAATCATACACCTGAGGTCACATGTGCACCACCACACACGCGAATGAACGAAACGTAGACAAAGGCGCCTCTCCGTGCACACCTGCAGGTTGCCGCGAATGCGGTCTGTGTGTGCGCTTCGCGGTATGACGGGAACTCCATGCTGCAAACTCCACCTCAGCAGCACCTGCGCAGGAGTGCGATGGCACTCAGAGGCGACGCGCAACACAGCTGGATGGGTCAGGAGAGCCGAGTCGCCTGACCCAAGTGACGCATACCTGCACACACAACAGACAGACACATGAACCAAAGCGTGACATACCGTGCAGTGCAGTCTGGATGCGGCCGTGTCTGTCTGCGTACCCCTGAATGACCAGTGGAGCGAAGGCAGGCGCGTCAGCGCCGCTGGTCTTGTCCCTCGGGGGCAGCCACGCGAGGAGGTCGCGGCGAAGGCAAAACGGGTGAAACTCTACCTGAACAAACCAAAAGTGATAGACACAGGTACCGACTAACTCATTTTGCCTTGTCTGATTGATGGACATGTACCTGGTTGACTGCCGGTGGGATGCCTATCCCGTCCTCATAAAGCGCATCTAGTGGGTGGAAGCGACGCAGGCAGATCATACCATGAAAATAGCAACCAACACATGTGCGGTGCGCACCGCACGCCATTTGTGTGTGTGTACCGTACCAAGGTGGGATGGGTTGAAGTTTGACACACCGATGGCACGCACCTTGTTGTCACGACACAGACACTCCAAAGCCTGACGGTAGAAGCCATGACTGGGCGATCGGGGGGTCCATCCCTTTCCTTGATAAGTGGCTAACCTTCCAGCTCTCATGGCGTGCCTTCCGATGCACTGCGTCCATGTGCTGCCTCTGAGGACACGACGGGCGCAAAAGGCAGCCGTGAGGCGTCGTAAATGGCATACGTGGACACGTGACAGCCCCCAGCACTCATCGCGTGTGTGTCACCTTGGCCACGCCGGGCCAGTGCAGCAGGTAGAGGTCCAGCTGCTCAACGCCCAGCCGTCTCAAGCTCTGCAGGCAGGCCGCGTAGGTCTTGTCAAAGCCCTGAACACAAGACACGACCACACAAACATACATTAGGACCTCACCTCAGTGACTGGCGTGGCGTGAATCTCCCGCGTACAGTACCATCTCGTATGGCGATGCCTTGCTGGTGATACACACATGCTCACCACCATGACGCGACCGCCATCGACTCAGCGCAGCCCTGCATACAACACCAACAGAGGAGAACCAAACACGTATCCAATTCACGACTCATGAGTGCCACTGCTTACTTGACATGTTCTTCATTCTTGTAGATGGATGCCGTGTCGATAAGGCGATAGCCGCACTCTAGGGCGGCCTCCACCGCCACCTCGCATTCATGGCCCTGCAGCCGATACGTGCCGAAACCGACTCGCGGCATTTCGATGCCTTCCCCGATGCAAACTGTCTTCCTTTCGTCCATCCTGTGTCTTGTCGGATAAATAGCGTGCTCAGGTTGCTCGTAGAGTAGTTGATGACCAAGCAGATGGAGTCAGAGTCTTTTCGCTTTGGAAAGACCCAGTGTGCCTAACGCTATGGCGTTGGGCTTCCGCTAGAATAGTAGGCTCCGTTTCACGAAGCTACCTAAGAAAGCGGGTATCTCCCTGGGCTCTGGCCAGGGGTAACTGGCCAGACGGTATTATGTTTGGTTCTGCTGCTCGTTTCACGTAGCAGCCTGGGCTAGGGCTTGAGTGCCCTTCGACACCCCCTCTCACTCAAGCCCTAGCCCAGGCTGCTACGTGAAACGAGCAGCAGAACCAAACATAATACCGTCTGGCCAGTTACCCCTGGCCAGAGCCCAGGGAGATACCCGCTTTCTTAGGTAGCTTCGTGAAACGGAGCCTACTATTCTAGCGGAAGCCCAACGCCATAGCGTTAGGCAGACTGGGTCTTTCCAAAGAGAAAAGACTCTGACTCTATCTGCTTGGTCATCAACTACTCTACGAGCAACCTGAGCACGTTATTTATCCGACAGGTTAAGAGCCGAAGCGCTTGGTGACTGGCGGACACACAGCAGAAACCGAGAAAGACAACTGACTGACTGAGAGAGACAGAGGAAACAAACACAGTCTGGCCGTGTCTCACAAAGATGAGCTCAGGTTTTCTCTTTCGTCTGTCGTTGCGGCTGGGACAGTATCTGACTGACCCCGGGTTGTCTTTCTTTTGGCTGCTACTGGCTGCTGTGGGCCTCGACCTCTGCAATGGGGCACCCGGCACGCTTATGACTATCAAGGACACTGCTGTGTGGCTCATGAAGCTAGAGATACAGATAGGAGACGTCACTATCGACTGGCCGAACGTCCTGGCACTGGCGGTAACTTACGTCACTGTCTAGCTGCTGATGTCAGAACAGAGGACACGGAGGTTCCTGACGTGGCTGAACAAAGTCGCACGAGGCTGCTACGTCACGTGGTGCTTTTTTATACTTCCTGTCTTCACAAGCTGTGTGGTTGTGATTATCGTCTATTATGTGGTCCATCTGCTGGTTGTTTATGTGGCTGTTTATGTGGCGTATCTACTGACGACCCTGACGATCATGGTGACGCAGATGACTGCTATGACGCTATCACAATGGCATTCGTCAGCTCAGTGGCATCTTACTTAGGGTGCGCAGCAACGTTTGCCGTCAACCTGACTATGACAGCTATCGTCTATCCGTCTATCGGTACCCTGGCTGTGTGGTACCTCAACCAGAGAGCAACAGGTCTGGGCTACACTGGACTACTCTTGCTCATCGTGTGCATGATGCTGCTACGAGTGCACGCGCTGCCAATCTCACCAGCCAACCTGACACACAAGGGATGCAGACACACACTCGATTTATTTGTCAAACTGCTCGTGCTCACAGGCATCCCTACCTTGCTGGTTGGTCGTTGGGTGGTGTGGCAATGAAGGCGAAAGCGACGACACTAGCTCAAAGATACGTCCATGGGCATTTCCTAGTGAGTTCAAGGCTTACGGGGATGATTTCCAGAAATGGAAGACGCACTTTGAGTCGTGGGCGTCGATCAATGGCTTGGCTGACGTCGTGGCTGACGAGGCGCTTCACGAGAGACCCCAGCTGACAAAAGTCGGCGACAGGCCTGAAGTAGAAAGCGACCCCGAGACTGGCCTGTGGACTGATGCTTACAACCAAGAGCACGCGAAGTGGGAGACGCTGAGCAAGCAGCAGAAGGACGAGATCCACAAGCGTCATCTCATTCACGCTGAGCTCTTGACTGCCTGCAATGGCAACGACACTGCCTTCAATCTGGTGAAAAACGCACAGATAGAGGCAGCAGAGGAAGACAAAGACCCACTGTTAAAGGTGGATCGATGGCTGTCTTGGCGAGCTCTGATAGCTAAGTACAACCAGGTGTCACCCTCTGAGTTGTCGAAGCTGCACACCCTTATCCGCACGTATCAGTGGAAGGGCGATGCATCCAATCTCGAGCCAAACCTCGGGTACATGATCGGCAAGTTCGAGAAGCTGAAGTCCCTTGAGGCTCAGCGCGCCAAGATGGACGAACAGCACACAAAGCTGGTGTATGGCTTGGACGAAACCGACAAAATAGCTGCCGTCAAAGCCATCCTGCCCAAGCAGGCATACCAACAACCGTTGGCCTTCCTCAACCTGCAGCAACAAAACGAAGCAAACAATAACTTCGCTGCGTTTCAGCAATTGCTGCGCAACCACTGTGACCAGAACCTCCCAAGGTCTGCACAGAATGCGAACACGAGCAGCTCAGCTGCCGGCGCACAGAATGACATACTCATGACCAACAATGGCGAGTCTGTCGTGCCCCCCTTCGCTCACTCGGCAATGACCCGTGATGAGGTGATGGCCAAAAGCAACTCCACCAAATGCGAGATCTGTGGCATGACGAACCACACGACTGGGGAGTGCTGGCACCTGGGCATAGCTCGGGATGCTGTACGAGCCCACACAGGCCGTGGCAGAGGCGGTCACGGGACATCCCGAGGGCGGGGCGGACAGAACGGCAACGGCCGTGGCCATGGTGGTGGACCTAAGAAGGGAAACAACCACACCATCGGCAAGAAAAACCACAAGGTGAGTGCCAAAGGCACCACTGAAACAGACAGAGATGTGCATCGCACCCACCAAATGAGTGAGGATGGCGAGAAGCGAGCAAGAGCAGCACACAGCGCTGATGGGAATGTGTGGCCCCCCTAACGTGGCTCAGGACATCAGAATGCCCACAGCTGTAGCTAGGATTCCCTCAGTTGTGCAGTGCAATGTCGCAGCTGATGTTCACGCTGACGCTGTCGATGCTCTTCATATACATGATGAGGCACTGCTTGACTCAGGCTGCAGCTGGCACGTCTTCACTTCTCCTGATTTCTTTGTGCACCTCAGGCCGCTCCCACCAGCAACCAGCCAACTCAAGGTGGCCAACGGGGCAAAGGTGGCTACAGAGGGCGAGGGCGAGGTGGCCCTTAGGGTCAACCTGAAGCCAACAAACAGGACAAGACGCCTGTACAAAGGCACGGTGCCAAAGACGCACATAGTGCGATTGACGAATTGTCTGTATGTGCCTGACCTGAAGTACAATCTTCTCTCAGTCAGTGCACTCGAGGACGAAGGATACAATACACGCATGGATAGCCGCACTGTGTATAAAGAACCATACACACATTCATTTGTGCGGAAGGGGAGGCTCTACGTGCTTGATGTGTCACCTGCTGCTCACGCGGACAGGGCGACCAACGAATGCACCACACGAGAGGCGCCTGCAGCTGCTCACGCGGCCAGGCCGCAAGACGCTACCTATCCTGTGTGTAAGGAGAAGGAAGAAACGAATGGGAAGTCAATGACAGGCATCATGAATGCAGTCAGCAAGTGCCGTTCCTATTTCTCGAAACAAGGCGGCATGTATTGCGGCTACGCAGCGGCTGGGATATCGAGCACTGACGGCGACACAACACTCTGGGCACAGAGGCAGCACGAGTAGACGAGTAGCATACACGCATGTCTGCGTTTGTGATGCGGCTGTCGTGAGTGCAGGCCGTTTTTCGACATGCTGCCGATCAACGGCGGGCAGGTGACGCAGCAGCATGCTCTCGGCGGCCATTCATATGCAGCGCCCGGCTCCAGCAAAATCGACATGCCGCTGGTGGGCGAAGAACGTGATTTGCGTGTGTAGCCATTTTTCTGTGACGATCAGCCGAACAGCGGTGATTTCATGATGCCATCGAGCAGCGACATTGAGGACGGTAGACGAAACTAGCGAAACGGGAGACAAGTGTTGTTCATTTCTCGTCTCCGTTAGGTTTTCTTGGCCGTCCTTTTGTGCCAATTCTGAAGCGCTAGGTATGATAAACACGTGAAACACGTGCACTGAGATGGGAAGGAGGGGGGCTGCGTGCGTCTGTTTCAGTTTCGGTCGATGGAGGAAGAGTTGCAGGACCGGTTGTCTGGCACTTGACCACTAAGACACGCCCGACACATTCCGCCCACGCCAGCCCTTTTTTTCTCGGCTGTGTCCTGTGTTACATTCATTCACATACTCAGCAATGCGCTGGACGTTTTCTTCTATACGTGTTGAGGGCGGTGGCGTTCTTTCTGCACGTAATTTTTCGCCGTAGCGGCCAGCCTCGGTGTGAGGCAACCAGACATGTTTGTCAGACGTGTATGTGATTGAGTGACTTAGGGACGCTATGTGCTTGAAAGCTCGTTTCGTGTATCACATCACGTGCATGTCTTTAAGAGGCATAGGTCTTTGCACAGCTACTTCAACACAGTAATCATGCCCACACGTATCCTCTGCCAATCACATCCCTCTCGAGATCCAATCGCCGCAACACCGTGTATATATATGACCAATGTCTGTGCGCATACACGTGCACATGCACGTGTGAACTTGGAGTGCGTGTATATGATGAACGTCTGTGTGCGCACACCTGCGCATGCTCGTGTGGACTTGGTGTGTGTGTATGTGACGAATGTCTCTGTGCGCACACCTGCGCATGCACGTGTCGACTTGGAGTGTGTATATGTGACCAATGTCTGTGTGCTGTATAATGAGTTAAAAGAGGGTACTGGGCCCTGCATGGGGATATGTTACTTCGCAATTCGTGTGTCCGGTATCTTTATCCGTGCCCAGGCATGCCTTCTTGAGCGGGCAAGAAATCACGACAGGCATACCTGTTTGCCCGGCAGCATACCTGCAAAAAGCGATACTAATTTCACGGATTCTATGCTTCTACTCAAGGCGCTCCTTACGTTGTCGTTTCCGTGTTGTGGGTATCTCTAAGCAGGTAGTACCCATTCATTGTGTGCACCATAGAGTGATTCACTATTGGTTCGTTGCAGTCGATGCCCTCAGCGCAATTCTCGCATTTGAGCTTGTTTCTGTGCCTGCGAAAGAGACACACGCAGACAACGGTTTAAGTGTTGCTTGCCAACCTGTCGACCTACTTGATGAAGCCCTTCAAGCAGTAACATGCATTTTCTCCTATGCTGCCTTCGGTCGAGTTGAGGTCCGCTCCACACTCTTTGCAAGTTGCCTTTCCTTTCTCCATGACACCATACTGGCCTGCAACACAACATATATAACGCGTCGTCTTGCGTCTCTTCCGCGTGCTTTCGCTTTTATTGCATCCGTGAGCAAATGCATCAACTGCCTACCTGCGGGGCACGACCGACACGTTTGGTTGAATAATTCAGAGCCAAGCTCACAGTCGAGCTGACACACCCCGGAGCTGTTCCGAAAATGGCCATCTTTACAGTAACACAAATCAGCACGAACCCCAGACGCTGAAGGGCCAGAACGAAAGAGAAATATATATGCCTGTTTCTTTCATTAGCTCACTCACTCTCTCCGTATGGACAGTCGTGGCACTTGGAGGTGTCGACATCGTTGTAGTTGTACCGCAGGTCGATGGAGCGGGCGAGCTTGCTCAGTGGCTCATTGCTCGTGTCGACCACTGTGATGTTGTTGGACGCAAGAGTGAGAATGCCGGTCGATGAGAGGGTTTCGAAGCTGTTTTTTGAAGTGACGGAACCCTTGTAAAGGAACCAACAGACAGACAAAAAAAGAAAGACGCAACAGCAGTAAAACGCTGTAAGTGTCATACCACGCAACGGTTGGTGACCCATTCTTTCACTTCTTGTATGTCAAAGTGATGGAGCAGATCGCATGTCAGCTTCCCATATAGCTGACACCCGGTGCAGTCAAGGTGCGTCAGACTGCGCACACAGGACAAGAGACACAGTCGGCTGATGCATTGCGTCTCTCATTGACCATGGAAGTGCTCGAAATCCTTGTAAAAACTCGGTGACGTCGATTTCCAGCGGATTGAATGAGATATCGATTTTACGCAGCTGCGGCCAATCGGGAGGGGGCAGCACATTTAAGAGCTCGTAGGCCACAGAGGGCGTCGCTGAAAGCACGAAGCACGGAGAGTCAAACAAGCATTCGCACAAATAAATGTCCTGTCCTGCGCACATGCATACATATATGTGGATTATCGGCGCGGTATCCCCTGGCTGTCTCGAACCACTCCGGCCACGTGAATGAATTGAATCTGTTGAGGCCCAGATGAAGCTCCTCAACGGCAGGTAGCTGATACCAGGTTTCCGGTATGGTATCAAGGCCGTTGCTGTGAACACTGATATACTCCACGCTAGAAAAAAGCAACAGTCAGGAAAACTTTGATACGTCTCAGACACAAGTGCTATTCCATACGGTGACCCTCTTGCTTACGTCTTGGGAAGTGATCCATTGCCAGTAAAGTTCTCGATACGATTGTAGCTCAGGTCTAGCGTTCTGAGTGACACGAGGGGCTGCAGAGATGGCAACGTGCCGGCCAGGCTGTTGTTGCTCAGGGAGAGTTTCGTTAGCTTCGTCCAATTTTCCAGCGAGGCCGGGAGGCCTGTGAGACTGCACAAAACAAGAGTGAGAGCATATGAGCAGTGTTGTGCCCGTTGGTTGACAAGAAGAGACTATTACCTATTGTCGTCAGCGATGAACTCTTTTAGTTCCGTGCATTCCCTCAGCCCCTCAGCCACCTGGCCGTGAAACTGCACACACACAACAGTAGAGCCGCAAGAGCCCCCTTGACTCAATCTCGTACCATGTTATGGCTGAGATACACTATTTTCAGCTTTCTCAGCGATCCAAGGGCTTCCAGAGTCCCCGACAAATTGTTCTCATCCAAATGTAGCTCCTTTAATTCCTGCAAGTTGGCCCACTGCTTCGGGATGGTGCCGGTGAGATTGTTGCTTCTCAGGTTCAGGTGTTCCAGCTTCGTCAGGGAGCCCCACTCAGGAGGAAGGCTGCCGGAGAAGCCTTCGTTTTTCCCCCTTTGGCCGTGGAGATCAATTAGACATATCTTTGCCGCCTTGCTGAGAGATGCAGATAGAGACGCTGACAGCTGCAATCAGAACGGCAAACCGCTTTCTGTTCTCCGCCTTTGTGTCTCTTCGCTGACTATTCGTGTGTTGTGACTTATCTCGTTTTCCTGCAACTCCAGCTCCTCGAGATGCAGCCAGGTCGACCCAAAGCCATCAGGCAGACTGCCATTTAGGCGATTATTCTGCAGCCTCAGATGTCTCAGGCGTGTCAGATTCTTGACAAACGCCGGGATGGAGCCAGAGATATCGTTCCGCTGCAGATCAAGGGTCTCGAGACCTGTCAGTGCTCCGAGAGACTTAGGTATAGCACCACTCAAGCCAACATCCTTGAGCACAAGGGACGTCAAATTGCAGCTAAGCGTGGTAGGAACGGTCGCAAGATGCACGCCGGGCCGCTCGAGGGTCAGATACTTCAGTTGCGCCATGTTGACGAGCTGTCCTTCCGTAAAAGATCCCTCGAAAGCTGTGTCGATGATGGAGAGCAACTCGAGGGAGAGAAGGTTCAACCCAGGCAGTTGACCTGAAAATCCAGGGCCATTCTTCGATGAGCCTGCGATGTCGAGAGCTCTAAGGAACGTCAGGTTGCTAGTCGAAGTTGGGAGGCCTCCATTCAGTTGTGTCTGAGATAGACACATTAAGCCCATCTCTCGTTGCTGCCTGTGCCTTTCCTGCCCTTGTTCTCACCCTCCGCAGACACAACAGCCGCAGCATTGTTAGATTGCCTATACCTTCCGTCAGTTGGGCCTCAAAAGGCACACTCGTAATGCACAAGCCCAGAATGGCCGAAAGCTCATAGGCTTCGGTGGGGAAAGGCACATTCTTTCTCAGGGACGCCCGCCATTTTGTCACCTGCCCGCCCTCATGGTTGCCCCACAGCAGCAAGAGATACCCTTCAGCTCCGTCCGACAGGCGGATACAGACGATGAATGACACCGAGCAGAAGTCGGTTGCGAATATTGTCGCCTCAGTCTCATTCATCAGGCCGATCTTCACTGTCAGCCTGCTCAGTGCATCAGCGTCGGCAGTGCACGGCACATACTCAGAGCTTGACAGCTCGTCCACTTTGTCCAGCGGCAGGATGAGTGATTGGGGAGATGACTTGCCCATGGGGGTGACGGTGGGCTGGGAGACCACTGAGGCGGACAGCAGATACCACTTGGTGCAGTCTGTCCACTTGCAGCTGCCATCGTAGCTCTCGTTGGCCTGCGGAGCCCGTCCAGGCAGCACACGCGGGGCCCGATGAAGTAAGTCCTGCGCAAGAGAAATCTGAATGGAGAAAAGAGCCACCCAAAGCTCCAAGGACACGAACCCATGCCGCATCTTTCGCAAACAAGCAAGCGCTTCCTGACCGCGCGGCCCCCACTCGAGACTGCGAGCTTAGCACGCGAGCGTGGAAGCGACGGCACCTGTCTGTGCGGGAGAGCTGCCATCTATCCCAGATGGAGTCAGCTCAAGCTCCACAAACGAACTCATCGCACGTCTCATCGCCTCCGCACATGCAGGTATGTGAGAGCGCTCATGCATCATTCAGACGCAAGATCGTAAGACTGCGACCGTCAGGTGAGGGAGATGCGAATGGCTGGCGAACGGTCAGTCCGGCCAGCGTCGCCAGAGGCTTTAGACTCATGGCGCACGCAATTGAACTCCTTGCGCACACAACATCCTGTCGAATCTAGGCGACGTTCCTCTTTCTATCAACACGTTCACCTGGTGATGCCCCGCTCGTCAAGGATGACAGGACGACAGAGGCTGTCAGAAAGACTATTGAGAAGGCCATCCAGTCATCAGATGTGGAGGGATTGCAGGAGGCAATAGGCAGTCTATCACTTGAACAAGCGGAGATAATCTTGAAAAGCGGAAGATGGGGACCCAATTCAAGCGAGTCTGCCATTCATTTGGCTGCAGGTACGCGTAGTCCAACACATGATGAAAAATCATACGAACATGAGAGCTTCTTTGTTGTCAGCGGTTTCTTCAGATGCGAACATTTTTGATATGCTGCTGCAAGATCGACGACACTTCCTTTTCCTGAAAGATCCATTTGATGTACTTAATCAATATCTTTTGGTCAGTACCTTTATGCTTTGCTTCCTTTCTCCCAGAATGACAAGACATCTCTTCACATCCTTGCGAGACGAAATCAACCTCATCTTTTGAAGAAACTTGTTGGCTCGGGTGAACTAGACCTGCTGAAAGTCAAGGTTACTCGATAATCAGAACCCTGCAGCTCGTAAAAGAGATGCCGCTTGCCTTTTCTTCTATTTTAGGATGCTTCCGGTTTTACTCTATTGCATGTCGCAGCAGGTAAAGCATATGTAGGTTGCAAAGGGCCGTTCCATCCATCTAGCGTCCTCTTGTGTTATGTCTCAGAGTGCGGCCAGGCAAATGTGGTGAGGACAATACTCAAGATGGACCCTGAGATATGGCGCGAAAAAAACAAAGTAAATCAACATACAGCCCTTTGTTTCACGAAAGTGCTATTCGCTATGTGGAACTCAACAGAAACGCAGGACTGTATATCATACAGCGGCCTATGAGGGCCAAGCTGAAGTGCTGGAGGCTCTCTTCGATGCGGCTGGGCTTGAGGGTTTTTTATGCAATTTGTTCGTCATTGGGTAGATCGTGGCTCACTCGCTGCCCTTCGCAATGTGGCCTATGCTCTCTTGCAATCCTTTACTTTGCGTCGCTTCAATGACTTGCAGCACATTCGTCGCTGTAATCTCAAGGATAAGGGCGTAGGCCATGGTTTTATTCCATTCGTTCAGAGGCAGAAGAATGACCCATTTGGTAAGGGTCTGTCAGTGCCGATTCCGGAGGGCAACTCTCTCCGCCTTTCTCTCTTACGTCTCTTACGTGCGTTTCTGCGTGTCGCCCCGGGTGGATGTGGCGACGAAGGAAGAGACGGACGAGCAGACAAGACAGACGAACCCAAGCCAAGAGGTTGACCCAGTGCGGCAGCTAACCTGTCCGTACTGGAGATGGTCGGCACGGCAATGGGCAGCTTAGAAGGCACGCAGATGTCATGTTTGTCGATCTGCATGTCGTCAACTGACCGGCGGCGGGCAACGAAGGGTGGGTGGACGGAAGAGATGAGCGGCCTTGGAGATAAGAGAAAAATGACGGGCCGCCTGCTTGCTTCAGACTCGGAATGAATGGCAAGCAGGCAAGATGGCAAGAATGGCAGGGATGGGACCGACAAGAAATACATTAAAAGCAAGACATGAGTCCGACAGACGAATGAACAACAAAGAGAACGACAGAAGGCTGACCGACAGGCCGCACCCCACCCACATTTGCCTGTCGATGGTGGGTGGATGGGAGGGACGAAAGGAAGCGACAAGAGGACTGCACTCGCTTGCGACCCATCTGAGGAGAGCCGCAAGCAAGCAGACGAAACAGGACAAGACGGACAAGACAGCCAGCAGGCAGATTGTCGAAGACGCCTCACATACACCAACACCCCGCCCCAACACGCAATCCCCACACCAGTTGGACGACTTGCCTGCTGACGACGCAGGCAAGGTTAGAGGCAGGACACCGTCCGCTTGCGATAAACCTGGGAAGACAGCGCGAGCCGACAGAGACGACAAGAAAAATGGAACGACACACACATGCACCCACACGCCCACACACATCGCCACGCATTCACGAAAAATGCGCCAGGCCGACAGCCTCTCCCTCACTTGCCTGCTGACGACGCAGAAGGAGGGGGAGGCGGGGACTGGGACGACGGGCGAGGCCTGAACGGACACAGGTCATAGCGATGAACGCAGTCAGCACGCCCAGCCCTCTCGCAGATGAAGCACTTGAGCTTCCAGGGGTCGGGGCAGCGACCGGCGCGGTGGCCGTGAGGGTATGCGCGACCATAGCCGTAGCGTCAGTTGTCACAGAAGTCAGGGTCTCTGTCGCGACGCGCGTGCTGCTGCTGAGGACAAACAGGCGTGGCGCCGGCAGTGGGGGCGGGGGTGGAGGAGAGAGTGGGCGGACGAAGACGAGGCCGTGTGCGGCCTCTTGTGAGGCAATGACGAATCACTGAGGTAAGAAAAACAACACGAGCCACAAACACATGCACTCGCTGATGGTCGGGTCAAGGCGGATGACGTTGAGCATCGCTCGCAACGTCTCAGAGTACACAGCTGGGTAGACATCCCACTGCATTGAAAACGAGCATATACACCAGTGAGACACACAGTACGTCCTTCTGTATTGTAAGTGAACGTTATCAAGTACCGAGACGTACGAAGGGTCTCCATTCTTGCTTCCCTTAGGCGGGCGCCACTCCTTTGGCACCGTCTTCTCCCAGACGTTGTTGCGTGCAGACGTCTCCGCAAAGGCCACCTCTGCAACCATGTCTTGAATCAGGGTGCCAAGCGAGGTGGCCCCGTCTATCACGTGAGGTTGGGGAAAATCGTCAGCCTCCTTGCGCGAGTCCCTGAAACACCGCGGCTTGAGCTTTGGCGAGTTCGTTCAGGGTGCTCTGCTTTCTCGTGTGGCAGCCGCCAATGTGGAGATCAGAGAGCACGCGGAGACGGTACTTCTTGGGAGGCGCACTTGCCGATCGGTTGGATACATGCGACGGGCTGGGGACTCCGTGGGCGTGAAGAAATGATAATTCTGAAGCGGATGCCAATCTCTCATCGATGTTGGAGCCTGAATGCACAGGAACATGCGATGTCATGTTGCGCTGTCTTCAGTGCAGCGGTTCATGGCACTCAGACGTTCCCAGCTGCAGCAGGCCTAAGAGCAGGCCACCCAAGGGCGATGGCGAAGAGAATGGAAATGGACCGATTAGTCATCGGCTCTTCTTTGACGTGTGAAGCGTCGCTCGAGGAAAGGGGCTTCGAGGTCCGGCCCCCAAGCGAGCATCATGAGCTGTCATGCATATCTCAGACTGCAGCGATGTAATGATGCATACCTGCGGCATAATGTCCGATCCATCATGCGCAGGGGTGCGGACACAGACATTCATCATATACACACCCTCCAAGTCAACACGTGCATGCGCAGGTGTGCGCACACGCCCCTTGACCTTGCCATTGGTCGCCTTTGTAGGATCCCCCTCGACAGGATGGAAAAACACGAATGCAGTGTTATTGCTGCAATGCTTGGTGGACCGGAAGGATGGGGCATAGCCGTCTTGCCGCTTGAGGCCCTGCGTGTCCAGATGTGGCCCACTCCACATGGTATTCTGACGCAACCATGGATCCTTCGTCAAGTGCTGCCTGCAATGAAGGACGGCATTGCAGCATTCTTGAGACATCGATCCACATCGCCTGTCTTGCGCAGCCTCGATTGGTGTTCTCGCTTTCGCAGCTTGTGCCTTGCACAGGAGGGTGACCTCGCAGAGTAAGAGATTATACGAGGAATCATTCGAGGTAGGACCAAGAGAGCTGTCGTGCTTCGTGATTCTCCAGGGAACTTTCAGGCCAAGCAGACTGGATGGAGGTGAAAGGCAGATTCATTCCGTCTGCCTGTATACTACAGTGTTGAATTTCTTCAGGCATTCTCAGCAAGTTTTTGCACCGAAATGGGAGAGAAGGAGTTCCGAGACTCGATCAGAGGCCATGAGGAAGAGCTCTTTGAGCGGCTCGAATCTGCTGAAGCACTTCAAGTGGTTACCAAACGTAGAGCGCACAAGACGTTTTTCCTGCTTGTCAGTCCGCTCCGATCTCCTTCAGCTAATTGCATCTCTCTGGTCGAACACCACTGGGCGAAACAGTACTTTGCCGATGGGGCTGCTGGCGTTGAGCAACATGTTCACGGCCAAGGACAACCTGCCGGGCCTGATGATTGGCGGCATCGTCATCGTCGTCCTCATAGCCCTGGCCATCGTTGGATTCGCCGTCTGGTACTACCGCTTCGGCGGCCGCAAGTGGCTCACAGTCGAGGCCAGCGAGATCCGGCACAAGCAGAACAAGTTCGTCAAGTCGCTCACCGCCGAGCTGCAGAAGACCGAGCACAACGAGTTTGAGGACGACTGGAAGGCCAAGGGCGTCGACGCCCTGTCGCCGTTCGCAACGCTGCCCAGTGAGGACGCCAAGTCGCCCCTCAAGGTGGAGGTGCACGAGGCCACCGACAACGGGGTCGAGGAGACCACCGAGACGGCCTCGGGACGCACTCACTCAGAGAGACCCAATGCCGGACATGTCGACGTCTAGACACAACACACACATATGAAGGAGGGAGGGAGGGAGGAAGGCATGTCGGGAGTGCCGGTGCGGTGTGGCGGTTGTCGATGTCGTCTGTGTTTGACGTGACGTTTGCCTTTATAGTCAGCTGCCCTCCGATATGTGAGTGTGTGAGGTTCTTTGGCATTCATTCATTCACAGGGGCACTGGGATCGGATCGGATCGTCTGTGGAATTCATAGTAGGTAGCGCTGGCTGACTGACTGACTGACTGTCCGGAAGTGCGTGGCCTGGCCCTCTTTTTTCCCTACCTCTCCCACACACACATACATACAGACAGACATACATACACACATACATACGCGTGGCTTTCTGCTCACATCCAGGAGTTGCTCGACGCATCGATCGACTGCTCTCCTGCTGCCCCCGCGAGCTGCAGCAGTGGCATCGTCTCGTCTGCTGTCATGTCTCTTGGAGCTCCTCGATGCGATGCTGCTAGCCGCCAGTACACACATGCCTCCATCGCCGCTTCAGCAGGCCTGTCCTGCAGTTTCTCGCCCCCACATCACACACACCCCCCCCCCC